TTATTCACAGATAGCGTCGGGCTGGGGAAGGGCGTAAATTTACGCTTTAACGGTAAAGGGGGCCTACAGTGATCTGTTATAACAGTAACGTGCTATTACTGTTATAACAGATTATTACTGCTGCCTGTTCTATCGGTAATGTGCAGTGATGTGATCTGTGTTTGCAAGAAGGGCAGATTATGGTCTACTAAACTAAGGAGTGAGCTAGCATGATGGCACTAATAGTTATGGCACTATGCTTGGTGTTGCTGTATGCTGGATGTGAGGCAGGCACTCTTTCCCAGCACTTACCTTCTTTCACAACTCATCAGTCTGTCAGAGCTTCCAACGATGGTATTCCTCAAGTAAATATCTCACAGCAGCAGTCCACTCCTCACTCGACAAAGCATATTACTGACGCCCCGTCCCCGGAAAGTGATACTACTGACCTGAGTTCGACTAGAAACTGCATCGTTGCATCCAGCACGAAGGAAGATGTCATCGAAGTGCTTCATCAACACAACCAGTTCTTGGTCATCATCAGCAGCGACTTCCAGTATTTGGAGACCTCCCTGAAAATTGGATCATGTAGTCACGAGAGTATCTACAGAGCCAACCGCTTCCTGACGAGGAATACACTCCACCTGCGAGCTCCCGATGCCCAGGCGGTGATGAAGATGAATTATACAAAACTTACTAACGGAGCACATGCTTACCGCCTCACCTTAGACAGCTTTAACTTCTCCGAGATTGTTAGTACTTCTGTCAGATGTGGAAAGGTTCTCGGGTTCCACGTGAAAGCAAAGGGAGCCGCCGTCTGCGACCTCAACTTAATGGAAAACCCTCTGGGAATTCGAGTGAGCGAACTAAAGTCTCTCCTGAAGGATCCTTCGAAGTCGCTACTCGATCTACGCTACTGGAGTCAAGGCGCCTATGTAATTGGAGTATGTTTCACCCTGGCCTCATATCTGCTGTTCCTGGTGACAGTACGACTCTTCAGGAGCAACTTTCAATATCAGTCCATCTTTACTGACAGGTACCTTTCTGTAAGCTGTTCAAAGCGACCTGAGAGCTACATGCTGCTGCTGTGTCCACTAATTAAGCTGTATATAACCTATATAATTACTTCCAAGGGCAAATTATTATATTTGCCAGCACTAGTTTCTTCCTCGCATTTACACTGACCTTTTTTTTCCAAGGAGGAGCAATAAATGTAAAAGTTTTATATAATAAATTTTCTTCAGATTTTATGAGAAATTTATTGGTATACAGAGTTTAATCCACTCTTATTTTTTTTTAGAAAATGTTTATAGTGCATCCCAAAATGATAATGATAATGATGATATTTATAACAATAATGTTACTACTACTACTACTAATAATAATAATAGTAATAATGCATAGTAATAATTTTTAATGAAAATAATTATAATTGAAGTAAGATTATGATCCAAGATACTTGTACAAATTTTTAATTATCTGTCAAATGTTAAATATCAAAAAAATACTGAAAACAGATTATGTATTAATTAATATCTGAGTTGGGAATATTACTATAACGTTCTCAACCAGGTTAAATTACCATGGGGGTAAATTTACTCCGGTAATTTACCCTAGGGTAATTTACCGGAAATTTACCCCTGGGGGTAAATTTACCTCTGGGGGGTAAATTTACCTCTGGGGGTAAATTTACCCCTGGGGGTAAATTTCCCTCTGGGGGGTAAAACATTACATGTCAGGGGGTAAATATTTGATGTACCTCAGGTACCTATTTTCGTGCAAAACCTGAATAATTTAATTGTGTTTCTGTCCCTTTATGATAACGATAAATTTTTGTATGGAAGTAAAGGGGGTTAATGGAGAAATACATTAAACCGAAGGGATTAATGATGGAAGAAAAGTTGAGAATCCCTAGACTCTTGTCTCCAGACATTACTTATATGGTATTGGTTAGTAAGTACTGTGAATACCGTACAACGTTACTTACGGTGAACTGTTCCTTAATGTTACTATAAAAGAAATTATTTATTGCAGGAGAACTGAAAATATCACAACACCGAGCGTCACTCTGCAAGTGGTAAACATACAGTGGAGGCTCCAGACTTTCAAGTCTCTAAGTAAGCTAATCATAGCAACAAGAAACAAAACCCGGATAATTTGGAGAACATTTAAGCATGTAAAATATCTCAAAATCTGCTATGATAGTGTGTCATCCAACACTTCCAATGCCATGATAGCTGTAGGCTGGAAACTTTTCTTCCTGTCTTGGAAAGTTGGGTTGACCAGGAGGAAGGAGAGGCTAACAAGGAAGGTGGAAAAGGAAGCAGGATGGAAGCAAGTACACCATTGAATCTAATGCTAGATGTCTCTCCTATTGCAGTGATTCACATTAAAATATAATAAATACTAAGCTGCCACTCAGCTTCCCATCCAGCTTACTACGCCACTTAGACATTGTTGTTAGTCTGAAATATTCCAAATTGGAATATTTCAGACAAAGACAGAAATAACTTAAGTGTTAAAATAATGTATTCACACACACACAAATATATATATATATATATATATATATTATATATATTATATATATATATATATATATATATATATATATTATATATATATATATATATATATATATATATATATATGTGTGTGTGTGTGTGTATGTCGTGCCGAATATGTAAAACTGGTCATTTAGCAAAAACTCATTTAAAATTAAGTCCTTCCTGAAATTTTCTCTTATACGTTTAAAGATATATTTTTTTCATTAATGTTGATGTAAAAATTTATAATTTTACACCAAAAGAATCTTAGAAAACTTACCTAACCTTATTATAACAAGAACAATTTATTTTAGCCTAACCCAACTAAATATATTTTAGATGTGTTTACAATAATTTAATACTAAACAAACACAGTGAAATATATTTTTTTCGTTAGGTTCAGAATGATTTTGGCGAAATTATTGCATACACAAATTTTCACTTGTCCTATATGGCAAGATGAACGTTGCTATTTAAGCCAAGATCGCAAGTTCTGCCTATTCGGCACGACATATATATATATAAAAATATATATATATATATATATATATATATATATATATTATATATTATATATATATATATATATATATATTTATAATAATAAGTGTGATATGCAGCAGACTAATACAACAGTGTACTCATGCAAATTTAAGTACAGAAACTTACACGTACATTATTATAAAAAGAAATGCACATCCCTAAGATGACATAATACAGTGCACACTGCACCCCCCCTAACTGCTGCATCTGCCGTCATCAACCATAACAACCATAACCTAAGATGACATAATACAGTGCACACTGCACCCCCCCTAACTGCTGCATCTGCCGTCATCAACCATAACAACCACAACAATAAATAACAAACAGATCTTAATATAGAAACATCCATAAACACGCTTCTTACATAACCTCTGCAAGACAGTAAGTACATTTGTCAAAGATAATATATTAGGCATAGTAAGAACCTGCACATTCATATTGCACAGAAGAGGCTCACTGTTATATAAAGTACAGTAATTCATACATGTTGAAAGGAAAGCTCCATGTTACTCGTACCCATTTCCTGAATGGAGTCTGGCTGGCTCACAACACTCACCGACCCCACACAACTCGCTCTGTCATGCCCACGCATTCCTCACGAAGCCAGCTTCGTTATGTCTCCCTAAAACCGTAACGCCCATAAGTCATCGACTCGAAAGCTACGATATCCCTCTGAAAATTTGAAATACCATCTGTCCCCAGCGATATCCTTATTCCTCCTGTGTGTCCCGTAAAATATCGCTGCCAGGGCCCTAATTCGCTCCCTCACCGGCGCTCTCCGTAAAGCCCACGAAGTATACACGAAGTCGACGACCAGGTAATCCATCGCATTCTGTACCAACACCCCCTCCACATCTAAGTTTAATGCCCGTAAAACACTAAATCCACCCCCACCCACCATACGTAAAACCCTGCAAAACCACCCTCTCACTGGTTCCAACCTCGCACAAAAATATACGGCATGAAACACAGTGTCAACATCCCCACACACACAACACTCCCTACCCTCCTGCACACGACTATTACCCAACACCTTCCTCGACGGCTATATATTGTGGAGAAATTTAAACATTACCTCCTGCACCACAGCCTTCAATTGCAACCCTTTCAGGCGCCCCCATGTATCGCCCCATGCATACATAGGATATATACCCACAACCCAAGGAACCACCTCCCCACCACCTCCTCAAGCCAGTTTACCTATCTTGACCCCGCATGGTTCCCTAGCAAAACAATAATCTCAACATTGCCTCATACACCTGAACATCCCTACCCCTCACCCAACGTCCCAAGTCCCTTCTCACCCATGCAAAACCTGTACCTGCGATTCTACCCTCCCTCAAATAACTGTGTTTAACGTACATACCCAACAACCTTTGATGCAGTGACATTAACCCCAGCCCTCCCTGGCGTACTGATAGACACACAGCATCTCTCGACAACCAGTCACAGCCCGAACCCCAAATATATCGATACACACGCTTCAACAGACGCTTCTCATCGCATGTTTCCAAGGGATATATACCCGCCACATGCCACAGCTTACCATACAATATCACATTCACCACAATGACATGCTGGTGCAGCATCAAACCCCTAGTATGCAATCCCACCAATCTACCCAAAACCCTATCCACAGCTTCCCTCGAATTCACCTCCTGTGCCTCCTGAAAATTTCCCACGTGAACAACCCCACACACCTTAAGTCGACTTACCAGGGGCAAACCTTCACCCTGCCCAAAAGCCCCACCCACACCATCCCCCACCCTCAAAAGCATCGACTTATCTCTATTAAGCGTCATCCCTGTTGCCATGCCAAAATTCTCCACCAACTCACTAACCCTACGTAAATCCTCAGACCATCTAAATAGAACTGTTGGTGTCATGTACATCACCTACGATCCCCGGTTCCATGGACACCCCATCCCTCTCCATCCCTTCCCTTACACTACAATGCACAGACCTGTAGAACGGGTCTTGGGGCAATGCAAAGAGAAGCTGCGATACAGGGCATCCCTGCTGCAAGCCCCGTTCCATCCTAACAGGTTGACTTAATCTACCATTCACTTGCACCCTAACCGTTGCCTGCACATACAACACCTTGGCCCAACTGACGATTTCCCTCCCGAACTCTTGCCACTTGCATAAACTTCCACAACTCCTCACACTCCACACAGTCAAACGCTGCATGCCAATCTAACGCTAAAACCCCACCTTTGATGTCCCCCCCCCCACATTCATCTATAAATCTACGTATAATCCCCTGCCTCACACACATCGACTGCCCAGGCACCCCATATTGATAGGTAAGACACATAGGCAACATTTAGGCAACTTTATACCGAAGCGTTTCGCCTACACAGTAGGCTTCTTCAGTCGAGTTGCTTAAATGTTACCTATGTGTCTTACCTACCTACCTGTTGGTATCGTATACCATTTTGATATTCACTCTGTCAGACACTGCAACACAATGGCATCTTGGTACAGAAGAGAAAACGCCTTGGACAACTTTTTCAAGTGGGAACTGTTTGATCTGAGAAGGGCGTGACCTCTCAATGGCTAGATTCTCATTACTACTACTCTGCACCTCTCCTTCCGACAGTATTTAAGTCTCAACACTGTCGCTTGATCTTCAGTTAGTTCTAGACTTTGGAACAGAATTTCTCCAGGCTGAGGGACTGACAACCTCAAATCTACGACTTCAAGGGTGATGGACTGATTACATCGTCTTCACTGCTCCTGCCTTCTTCCTGTACTCGACTGAAGAAGCCTACTGTGTAGGCGAAACGTTTCAGTATAAAGTTGCCTAAATGTTGCCTATGTGTCTTACCTACCTACCTGTTGGTATCGTATACCATTTTGATATTCACCCCATGTTGACCCTCATCCAAAACTCTGTCAAGAAAACCTTTCAACCTATTTCCAAACACTTTAGCAAAGATCTTGTAATCGCCACACATTAAGGTGATCGAACGATAATCATGCACACATTCACAAGACTTCTTTTTAGGGACCATGACCACCACACCCATTCTCTGCTGTTTCCCCAACCTGCCCATGGTTTTCATGGCATTAAATAAAGCTACTAAAAATCCATGCAAACACTCCCAGTTTCCCTATAAAAATCACAAGGGATACCATCAATACCAAATGATTTACCCACACTCATCCCCTCCACAGCCATCCTAATCTCCTCCTCACTTATAGGCCAACTCAATTTCAATTGATCCTTATGCACTAGATTACAATTTACCCATTCACCCATTGCGCCTATCACCTCACAATTAACCTTCACACTTTTACCATTCTTCACGTTCCACACATTCATATAACAACCCGTACCCTCTGTTGACAAAAGCACCTACCCCTGACGGTATCCCCCCAATTGCTCCTGTACCCGCAAACTCATCATATCCATTTCCCTGCGATGTTTCCCCTGCTCTCGCAAGACATACGCCAAAGGACAGTCCAGCCATAAGACCTCAAGGCCCCCTGCAACCCTCACTGCATCAAAATTACGATTTTGAATATCCCTAATCCGCTGTTTCAAACCCACAATCTCACCCATCAGATATGCACCCCCCCTCCCATATAACATTCCTGTAGCTGACCCTCAAGGTAATTTAAAATCCCATATTGAAACTGCCGATCTTCCTTTCCCCCTCTTCTGATAAAAATTCCTCACCTTCCCCTTACCGACTGTGTCCCACCACCCAAGGTCATCAACCCCCGTCATCCATCAGCCCATCGCAATAACCCTACATTCATCTTCCAGTAACCCCTGAAACATTTCGGCAAATCCTCCCAATTTAAGTTCACCAGAACCCCTCGATGATCAGAGAAACTTACGTCCAATGCACACACACTGCCCACCCTCACCCCCGAGATACATAAATGCAGCCAAGACTCAAGAAATCGTAATGACACGATTGCAAATCGTGTCATTACGATTTCTTGAGTCATGTTGACGGCAGTGAAGGGACTTGAGCTAGAGTTCGTCACGGCCACGCTAGCTGGAGATTCGTCTGTAAAAACTTGCATTTGTGGTCACAGAGGTGCCTGTGCTAACCTTCCTATGGTGTAGAAATATACCTAGTTGGATGAATCTTATTGTGGCTAGCTGGTCTAGTGGCTAACGCGACGGGCTGGAGTTTTGAGACTCTATGACCGCGGGTTCAATCCCGGCCGGGGGTATGGTTTATGCAGCCAAGCCTCGCCGCATAAACGCGCTTAATAAACGTATGCATCACTTCATCAACCTCTCCTCCAACGTCCACTACATTCACATCTCGCAACAGATCCCTAAAACCCCCG